CTCAACAGAAGACCCACCCAGTGTCAGGGTCACCTGCCCAGACAGCCCCTTGCCAAGACACACAGGTGGTCAGGAAGTATCTGGCTGAGGACAGCAGCAACAGTGGGGTGGGGGTGGACGCTTGCATTGCATGTGGCCACCCCAGATTGGATTCCTGGCACCCCATATAGTCCCCTGAGCCCAGCCAGGAGTGATTCTTGAGCGCTGAGCCAGGAGTAAGCCTGGAGCACCAAAACCAAAAATAAATAAGATCTGGCTTGATGGAATCTCGTCCTTTTGGCCTGTTCCACACAGGCTGCCTGTTCTCCAAAGCATCTGCCCTGGCATGGGGAGGGCCTGGGAAACCAGCTAACAGGACCCTGAGGCTGAGGGGATGGGATGCCCACAAGGACACCCTCAGCAGGTGTGTTTCTAGGTCTCTTGGCTCCCTCCATGCCACTCAACTGACATGACACAGATTCTGGGGCTCTGGGACTGATACCCTAGGTGAATGCAGCAACCTTGCACCCCAGGTCATGGGAGATGGTGTGGAGGGGGCACTGCTGGCCTGGGGTGCAGTGGGCGGGGGGCCTGTCACCTCGTCCAGTCTTCAGGTGAAGCCCTGTGTTCCAGGACTGCCAACAGAGGAAAAAGACAAGAAGATGAGAAAGGCGGGTGGGAGATGGCGGGCAGAGCTCTTATTATAACTGCTCACCTATTTTTCTCTCCTATGGGTGATATGAAATTGACTTTGTAAAAAAAAATCATGATTTTTTAAAAAATCAGGCTTTTTTTAATAAAAAAAACTACAAAATTTGCTTCTTAAAAAAAATTAAATTCTTTCCAGGGAATTCAATATCCTTGACCTTAAATGGGAGCCCAGAAGCCAGGGCAATAAACTGAGTCAACTTCTCAGGTGGTGAACCTACTAGCAGACCCCCCTTCGCACAACAGCGGCAGGAGCCTGTAAAGGAAATCTATAGCTACACAAGGAAACCTAAGTTAGATAAGCTCGTCCGTGCACGTGGTTGGCGCCCGCGTCCAGCAGTGGGTAATGAGGGCCTCGTCAATAGGGCTGTTGGACAAATTGAATATATACACATCAGCGGGGCGGTATGGATCCCCTGGACGGAAGAGAGAATTAGTTAATGAACTTACCAAATGAATGGCAAATTATTTTTAAAATGTTATGAAGAAAGAGAGTGAACAAAGGACAGGAAGAGGATGAGGTGGAAATGCTCTGAGACAGAAGAGTGGGTTGGGGGAGCTGGCTTCATGCCTGCCTCCAGCATGCACTCAGCACAAGCCCCGGGGCATCCAGGCGCCCCCACTCCTGGCCAGTGTGGGGCTCTCTCCACCAACCCAGGCTCCACACAGGCCCAGACGCCCTCCTGGCCCTGCACAGGCCCGGCTGCCGTCCCAGGCCCTGTACAACCCCACCACGCTCAACAAGTGCTCAGGTCCTTCAGGCACACACCCGTCTCCAGCAGCCTTGGTGTCCCCTTCGCCCCTCCACCCTGCTCCTCTGTAAGGCTGTGCTGATGCCCCTCTCCTCCGCAAATCTGACAGATGTGGATTCCCACGCAGGGGGCTGGCTAGGTCCTGTGGGAGGGCTCCAGGTTTAATCACACCACTTTTGTGTGTTCGTGTGTTTTCAATATTCCTTATCACTGGGGTCGGAGTGACAGTACAGCAGGCAGGGCTCCTGCCTTGCATGCGGCTGACCTGGATTAAATCTCTGGCACCCCATACAGTCCCATCTCCCCCCAAATCATTCATTAGTTTACAACATTCCAGAATGTCAGAACATTACACCATTGTCTACAGGACTCCATGGGCCTGCCACCACAACTCCAGCACCACCTCACTGCCAGAAAGACCCCGTGTCCGTTCCCTCAGCCACTCTCCAGTAATCGCCATCCTTTTCACTAAGCCTGGTAGCTTTGAGGAGCAGGAAGCTTGGGCCACGCCTGGCTGTGCTGAGAGATCACTCCTGGTGGCCCAGACATGCAGTACTGGGGATTGAACCCTGGCTGGCCCCTGCACTATCTCTCTGCTCCAGCTGTGTTGTTTTCTTACTCTACCAAATAACCATTACTGGTGTCCTCCTGAGCTCCCTGCAGTGAGCCGAGGACAGCCCTGCAATGTCCCTGGACACAGCCCTTCACAGTCACTTTCTCCTCCCCGGAACATGGACCTGCTGATGCAGCTGCAGCCCTCACGGTCTCCAGTGCTTGAGAGGGGGCCGGGCTCAGCCTGGAGAGAATAACCACATTACAGACAGCTCAGAGCCGAGCACAGTTCCGAAGGCTGAGGCAGTGACCTGAGACCCCCAGGCAGAAGCATGAAGACCAGTGCGGGATGGGGCATAGATGCTCTGTCCGAGCAGGCAGAAGGGGCCCCCAGGTGCTGCTGTCACTTCCTCCTTGTCTTTCAGTGGGCACCTCGCAGCACATTCCAGGTGGCACCATTTTTTGTTTTGGGGCCACACCTGGCTTCCTTCTGGCTCTGCACTCAGGGGTCACTCCTGGTGGAGCTCTGTGGACCACATGCAGTGCCAGGAAAGGAACTGGGGCCAGCAAGCGGTAAAGGGAAGTGCCTTACCTGCGGCCCTACCTCCCCAGCTCCCAGGGACAGCTCCTCCCAGAAGAGGATGCTGAGTTGAGGAGTTTCCTGGGGAGCAGGAAATAAACCAGGTCCAGCCTCCAGGGCAGTCCCTCTGCCTCCCAACACCCTTCCTGACTGAGCACCCAGCCAGAGGCAAGGAAACAGGGTCCCTAAGCTCTGACTCAGTAATAGGCACCCAGAGCTCTAACAAACTTGTGCCTTTTTTACTGGGGCTGGGGGGAGGCCCAGAGAAGGGTGGGGTAGGTGTCTGAGGTACACCTGAGGCACTTACTGGTGCTCAAGGATCAAGCAGTGTCCAAACCACCAGACAAGAAAAGAGCCTTAGCCCAGTACCAACTCTGGCCCCTCATGTACCAGGGTTTTGCTTCTAAAAAATGTGCCAAGAAAAAACATAATTTTAGAAAACCAAAAGCAAACTTTAAGCAATTATTTTCTGTAATACTCTTTGTAGCAGCAAACAATTGCTAACAATTTACCTGTTCAATAACCGGGTATTCATAATGGGGGGGATACATATCCCCAGAGGAATTGTCAGTGAGCTTAAATGATTCCTGTACGACACAATCTTCCCCTGTGCTCTCTACTCTTACCAGCACTTGGACTTACAAACCGACTCAGCCGGCAGCAGTCTGGCCTCTTTTCCCTGTTGCTGAACTGTGGCTGCTTGCGAATCAAGTGGATCTCTAGGCGGAAGGGGTTATTTTTATTGGTCCCTTCGACTTCTGTGCAACTAACCTGTGCAACTAACCATTAGCAGAAAACCAACATGGACAAGACACCAACATTATCTTCTAGAGCCTGATGGAGAAGCCCAGGCTGGGGCTAGGGCTGCGGGTGTCACTGAGAATTTCCAGTGTGGCTTGCTTACTGCCTGTCTTGAGGTCTTCAGGGTCTGTGGTTTGTGAGTGTCATGTGTAAAGTAGTCAGCTGGGCCAAAAGAAAATAAGCAAACGGCACACAAAAGAGAGGGATGCTTCAGTCAACACTGAGAAAGGGCTCTGGATTGAAACTCTTGATAACAGTTCTCAACTCATTTAAAAATCAGCATTAGCTACCAAAATGTAAAGTATTAGTTTTATTAAAATGCAAATCAATCAACTAATCTGTCTTTCTAGTAACAGTTGAATTGCAGTATCCGTGTCAATTAAAATACTTTCCAATTTATTCTTGACTGGAAGGAGGGTGGCCTTCTGAATTTTAAAACGCAGGCCTCTCAGTACTGAAAATCCTGCCTGTTCTTATTCACCTGTTTTTAATTCATTTTCATTAAACATGCTGGACTTCCAACTACTTTGAAGCACCTGTTCAAATCTTTTTCTTCATCAGCTAGAGTGACAATGACAAAGGACCTCTCTCCCTGAGTAACTCAGCATCAAACTCCCAGGAAGTTCCCTACTACAAGGTTCCTTACTCACGGCTCCAATGTGTGTCACCCAGAATGTTCCAGCCAGGTGGGGACAGCTTATGTTTTACAAAGTGCTCATGTGGGGACCAAGGGACCAGAGCCAGAGCCAGAGTTCCAGGCTTGATCCCTGGCACTGCCCGGTCCCCTAGCACAGCAGCCACCTTCTCTTCCCATAGGTGATCATTTTGAGGAAAGTGTGTGGGAGACTCTCCTATCCCTGCTGATTGAGCTTTAGGGTAACGGGAGACACACTGGAAATTAAACATTTCTCTGACAGTTGAGCCCAAGAGGTAACTACCGAGACAAGGAAAACAAATCACGCGTACCAAGGCCCAATTAATGTGAGATGGGAAAACCCTCTTCCCTGCATTTGCCCCATCCTGAGCGCAGCAGCCACACTGGAGTTGATGCTAAACTGCGACGCAGATTACATCCGGGCCTGCCGCCTTCGGAGCGCAGCCTTCAGGCACTGTGGCGGTCCCCAGACACCAAGTCAATGATACGTGGAATTCCTGGGCACAGAAATCTGTCACTTGGTTCTGACAACTCAAAACCACATCAAAACCTCGCTTTTAAAAACCATGCCTCGTTATGAACTAGAACAGCAGTGAGGCGCCTGCATCCCACCTCCACGCTCAGCCCTCGGCCCGAGGAGAGAAGTACCGGAGAGCTGTGGAGATGGCCGCCCCCTCGCGCACGCGGGCAAGCGAACATTACTTATGCAAGATAATCTCCATTGCATATTGACCACAGCAGGCCAATAAATCCCCCTTATGGGGATTTAATTTCCAGCTTTTGACCTTTGGATGAAAAACAAGTGAATCATTTCCTCCTGCTAGATTTACACCAGAGCTAATCTCAATCAAGTGATTTAGGAATGGTGAGAATGGAAGAGGATCTTATGGTGAAATAAGGAAACAAACCATTATGGGTGAAATAAGGAAACAAACCAACAAACAAAAAAGTCAGAGGTTTCTATTTTGTGACAGACAGGCAAATATCTCCAGTACTGTAGGGATTTTCTTGGTGGCAGTGAGGGGTGAGGGGGATTCCGTGCTCCTTGGAACCATAATGACTAAACATCAGCCCCTCAGAAAGCAGCCTCTTGGCCCGGAATCTGTCCTCCCATGGAGTTTTATAGTGTAAGACGAGGCTGCTCATTGGGCTAGAGGAAAAAGATGAAGAGGGAAAATCCTCTGCAGGCTTGTCCTCCTGTCCAAGCTTCGAGAATAACTCCTCTGCTTCAAGCCCCCATGTGGCAGGGACAGATCCTTTATTCGAGGTGGTCACAGGACTCTCGCGGCCCGAGGCGCAGTGATGCACTGGATGTGAGGCCACTTGCTCTCAGGCTTCCTGGGTCAATCCGGCTGTGCTGGTCATCTGGGGTTTCTAACCGCCTGGTCACGGTAGGCGAGGCAGAACGTCAGTCTGTGGGGGTCTCCTCCCGAGGGTTGAGCTGGCCAAACAGAGACCGATACAGCTCCGTCCTAGAAGACAATCAAAACACACAGGTGCATGTTTCAAGGTTAACAAAGAACCAGCAAGCTGGGAAATACCCCATCTCTTCCTCCCACTGAAAACACGCTGCGTAATTAAAAAAAAAAAAAAGTCCCCCACAGCCCTGATTCACAAAACAAAGGAAGAAGGCGGCTGGAGGAAGCCAATCAAACAGAGAAATATGTAAATAGTACGGGGTGGCTGGCCATCCTGTCTCTGGGGAATGAGTTTTCTGTAAGTTTGCCCTTTCCAGACAGGCTCTTCAAGTAAGAAAACAAGATTGAATATTTTAATAGGATGTGTGTGACTGCCACGCGATGAGGAGGATTCAATCAGACATGGGATGGAGGGGGATATAATTTAGTTTTCATACATTTTCTTGGACTTGGCAGTACTTGAAAAACAATGAAAATGACCCAGCAACAAGATTCCAATTACTCTCCCATGTGCTGCTGTTCGGTGGGACTGAGCATCCTCCCACCCACCTCCCCAGCCCATTTCCTTCTCCCTGGTCTCAACCTAATCCTAATTCAACTGGCTAATTTCTATCTAAAGTTGGGCTTAAACACAGAGAGAGAGAGAGAGAGAGAGAGAGAGAGAGAGAGAGAGAGAGAGAGAGAGAGAGAGAAGAACAGAAAAGGAAAAGAAAAGAGAAGAAAAGCGAAGAAAAGAAAAGAAAGATCAAAACATGCCAGGAGGGTGGGGCCTTAATAATTAACTAAACTGTCACTCCCAACCTCTACAGCTTCGAGCAAAGCCTGTGTCACCTCTCAGAGTAGGGTGGGCCAGAGCACTGGCCTGGAAATGGGAGCAGAGTCACTCTACAGAAACAGGTTCTGGGCAGGTGAACCCCTTCTCTGTGGACCGTGCACACACCACCCACCCAGAGAGAAAAGCAATGCAGAGAGGCAGGTCTGGGGCCCGCAGCCCCCAAGGAGGGGCCCTTCCACTCTCATTTCCAGGAGCCACAGGAAGCTGCCTCTGCCCCCAACACAGGCTTCCAAAGGGCACTAGTTATCTGAGTCATCATCAGCGAGCCGGACTTTACAGATAAACCCAAACACAAACCCAACCCCAAATACTCAACCTTTGGGTCCAGGAAAACTGCAACCCAAACATGGCAGCTTCTAAAGTTTCCTGGGGGTGGAGATGGGGTGGGGTGGGGTGGGGGTGTCAGGGGCTAGGGAGAGACTGGCCATACTGCGAGTCCAGCGCATTAAAACATCCACAATTGTGAAGAGGGGCCCAAGAGAGAGGACAGAGGGGAGGGTGCTTGCCTTGCACACAGTTGACCTGGGTTCGATCCCTGAGCAAAGAGCCAGAAGAAAGCCCTAAGCACTGCCAGGTGTGCCCCCCCCCCAAAAAAAAGGGCATAACAAAGATTGTAAAGAAACTGGAAAAGCCAAGAATGTGAACCAACTTGAACCCTCCAGGGACCCCAGACAGCACAGAAACACAGACCCGAAAACAATAGGTCTCTGACGTGATCGGAATTTTACTGTGACAGTTCTCTGGCACCCTTGCCCCAAACTACAGACCAGCTCCTAGACCTCCGGACAATGGATGCGGGCTTTTGTTCCTCTGCCACACACATCTGCCGGACTGACCGCCCTCCACCGGCCCTAGGCGGGCGAGCACAAAGCTGGAAGGCAGCTTCAGACCCAATGCTGAGGCGTGGAGGGCAGCCCCCAAAACCCTCAGCTCCAGCACCTAAAGGACAGGAAGGCCTGGCCCAGGCTCCACTCAATCATGCACTGGCCTGCCTGTCTGCCAGTGTGAGTCTCCCTAGCCACTGCCACAAACAAATTAAATGGCATTATGGGGAAAGTCGCCATGACAAAAAGGACAGTCTGACTTTAAGGCTGCCTGGGCTGACGAGAGGGAGCGGAAGGCGCAGTGCTATTGAGCCCCTCACAATCATCTCCTTTTGGAGCCTGCCCTGCTCGCCGGCACCAGACCCATCATTACCACTGCGCAAATGCTTCCACTCGGCGTGGCAATCTGGGCGCTGCATCGGGACCGCGTGGAGCTGACTGTCCGCAGCGGGGCTCACGTGGCAGGGGCAGAGAGGGAAGTGCTGAAACCCATGTTTTGACAGAACATCATTTCACACTCAGGTGGGCAAAGCTGACACGCATATGCAGCTGTTCGTGGCGAAGCAACCTGGGAAGATGAGTGGTCTGGGTTCTTAAAACTACTTCACATAAAGAGAGAATCATGAGTGAGGGATTATTCCAATCTCGAAACCCCACAGTAATTCCAACTGTCTGGCTTCCTCGCCTGCACCACCAAGAGTTCATCTTCAAAGCAGGTCCCAATGCCCAGCTCCTCAGGTGGGCCAGGGTGGGCCAGGCCTGCTGCTCCTGGTCTCTTCCCCCACCCCCACCCCAGCTCCACCCTAAGCCCCAGTTCTTAAGATAGAGCCGGGATTCTGGCTCCACCATGACCAAGACTCCCATCCTGCCTCTCTCAATAGGACCACTGAGCTGGTCACTCACTACCCACCTGAGGGTGGGGTGCAGACACTTGAGTAATCTGGGGGGTGTTTAGAGGGTCATTCCTGGAAGCTTTCTGGGGCAGAGCTCAGGCCTACTCCCCACATCCCGGGCATCTGCTGGGCAGCTCCGTGGCCTCTAGCCCTCTCCTGCGAAGGGCTCCATAAAACCACACAGCCCTCTCACACATTTAAAGTCAATACATAAAAAATTTTCATGACCAATTAAAATAGCCACAGAGGATAAAATATTGCCAATGCAAACTTTGAAACCCTTACTGCCCTTCTATAACACTACCAATAGAAACTATGTGTCATACTGAGTCTCATCAACCTTCAAGTAAAGTGTCACCAAACTGGGAAATTTTACAGCAATCTTTTATTTTTAAACTTATTTTGCAGGACTTTTTTCCCCCTACAGATTTCTGTGATAACTGTTCTATATTTGCAAGTCTTTTATTAATCATACTTCTTGATCACAAAAGTAGGTAAACTGAAGCACTTTTTAAAATTTACAAAGTTGAAATAAAATGTTTTAATATCTTGAAACCATAGGCTTTAAGTAACTAAAATTATTTCTGGGTTATATTATTATAATTATTTATGAAGACATATAATTGGTATCTACAATAGGATGAAAAAACTTGTTACATAACAAGTAGCTGGGAATAGTAGTTTTATTATAGCAATGTCATTCAATTCTTTTGTATCTGAATTGCAGGCAGCCACCTATCAACCAAAATTTGTTCTAATGATCTGCCAGCTAAAAAGTCCATTGGACTCTCCAGCAATTCTGTTGAAACCGAAGACTTGGAGGGGCCAGAGCAATAGTACAATGGGTAAAATGCTTGCCTTACATATGGTAAACTTGGGTTCGATCCCTGGCATCCCACACAGTCCCCCGAGTACCGAGAGGAGTAAATCCTGAGTGCAGAACTAGAAGTAAGCCCTGAGCACTGCCCGCCTCCCCACCCGCCAAAAAAAAAAAAAAAAAAAGAAAGAAAGAAAAAGAAAATGGTGGAAAGGGTGAGCCCTGCGGGCAGGGCTTCTCAATCCTGCACCAACCTTCCCAACAGTCCTTCCCTTCACCTCAGCCCCACAGGAGAGGAGGGGGCCATGGGGTGGGCTGCAGGGAGCAGGGAGAAGAACACAGTGAAGGAGACTAAGGTTCTCTCTCACTCGGATCAACTTCCGTAAAGAGACAGAGCTAGAAAGGGATTCCTTACAATTCTGGGTGTCTGCCTTCCTCTTCTGAGAATCTCTGAACAGCCCAGAACAAGCTGTCCTGAGCTTTCCCTCAAACCTATCAGGTGCTACAACATCTGGGGCCAGTGCTGAGGGGAAGGTGGAGACAGATGGAAAGAAATCAAACATGTCCAAGGGCTGGAGTGATAGAACAGCGGGTAGGGCGTTTGCCTTCCAGACGGCCGACCTGGGTTCGATTCCCAGCATCCCATATGGTCCCCTGAGCACCTCCAGGAGTAACTCCTGAGTGTGCAGAGCCAGGAGTAGCTCCTGTGCATCGCAGGGTGTGACCCAAAAAAAGCAAAAAAAAAAAAAAAAAAAAAAAAAAAAAATCAAATATGTCCAGATCCCTTACCTGGATCAGGGGAATACACTGGGGCACCAGAACCCCCTGACAGAGGGCCAGCTCGCTTCCAAGGCCAGGCCCCTTTGCCCCTGCAGGCTCCTTCCTGGCAGATTTAGCCCTGCAGAGACGCTAAACTATCAATTGTTCAGGTTAACCTTGTCTCCACCGATTCTCCAGGGTGAGTGTGGAGTTTAATATTGCAGGTCCCCTTAAGGCTAAGCATAATGAATTTGGTGGCTTTTTTTTTTTTGGTTAAAAAAGAAAAATCCAAAAATACTTAATTCCTGCTTCCTATCACATTAAGAATCTCAGTGGGCGTAAGTTCCCGTCCCCTGGCAGCCCCGCACCCTCTAAGCTTGGTCTTCACGGCCAGTAAGACAGTCCAGGGTAGAAAAACATATTAGTGCTGGTTTCCTGCAGGAGAGCGACCTGCGGAGTAATTAACAGGACTCGGACCCAAGGTAGGAGGTCGATAGCAGGGGCTCTTTTTTGAATTAAAATTTAACTTACCCTTTATTGCAACCTACAAAAGCAAGTAATGAGCACTAACATTTTTATTTCTTTTAAACTGTCATTTAGGCTGCAGAGGGGATAATTACCTATCTCTAGCGTAGTAAGGTTTTATAACCCTTAGTGAGGCATTTTCTAATTTAATATTTTTACTATATTCTCATAAAACCCGTTTCTGGGGGGGGAAAAAATGATCACGGATTAGCAGCCATTTTCCATAAAGACAGCCCGTGCGTGGGGACACGTGCGAGCGCGCACGCGCCCTGACGCTGCCGTTCCTCTGAGGAGACGCAAGGCGCGCGCGCACGGGGAGGGCTCGCCGTGGCACGCAGTCACTTCCGGGGCATCGGGGCCTGAAGCAGGACCCGCGGCCGAGCACGTCCCGGAAGTGCCAC